TAAATGTAATGGTTATTTTTTGATATTTATTGTTTAGGTTATTTTTCAATGTTTTATCATTTAAATTATTTTTCGATATTTATCGTTCAGGTTAAATTTTAGATAATTATCATTTAGGTTAATTTTGATCATTATCATTCAGATTATTTTTGATATTTTATCACTGTTTATCTATATCGATACTACTCGATAAGTCCGATTATTATCGATATATGTCATGTGACTTTTTATCGACATATATCCCCCTGAAAAATTTCCTAATGAAATGAATTAATTTTTACAATATTACTTGATTTGGGACAAGAAGCATTAAGCTTCCAAAGGCATTGTGTACGTTGTGAAGATGCATTTCGTCGCTTGGCTAGGTCAGAAGTTACTTGCAGAACATGGATGCCTGACCTTGAACACTCGTAAATAATATTACGCATTATTCCTTCATCTATCTGGCTGTTCTTTACTTTATAATTAAACCCCTTCTTTTTGGTAAAATTATCTAACCAGATTTTAAATTCTGGCCAATTCGTAAAGGTAAGACCAATTTTTAATTCAAACGGATCTTCTGTTTCTTCCGAATCAGTATCAAGTAATTCCTCCATTAAAGGCTCTTCGGTTTGAATGGTTACCTGATGATCATCGAAAATTTTCTCTACTAAAGACTCTCCAATTTGAATGGGAATAGTAATCTGATGATCATCTCTATCAAAATGTTTCTCCACTAAAGGCTCTTCGGTTTGAACAAGAATGTTAACCTGATGATTATTTTTATCAAACTTTTCTTCTATTAAAGAAGACTGCCCGTTTTGAATAGTCTTAGCCAGATACTGATGATCATTTCCATATTTGTCACTAGAAATGAAGTTGTTCGAAGGAATAGACGCCTAACAAACAAAAGAAAGGAAAAAAAATTAGAAAGAGTTGGTGAACAAAACCAAAAAAAGGTAATAACAAAGACTAAAGAGAAGCGGAAGTATTTATTTGTGAATCAATATTGACATTTTTATCATTTGTATCATCGTGGCTTTCTTGATATGTATTAATTATTAATGTGTTCTTTATTTTTTGCGAGGTCGATATTTCTTGCAACATGCCGTTTTGTTTAACCTAAAGAAAATTTTTTCGTTTTGGCAAAAAAGAAACTATTTTTATTGTTGGTAAGACTTTCATATGTCTGATAAACAATGACATAACTATGATTTAATTAGTTTCACGTGATAAACCGCAGTAAATATCACGTGACTTAGACACATTACGCAACTTTCCAAAAAAGAAAATTGTGTAATATTATTTATCAAACCCTAACCTCGATTTTGATAAGAAGCAAAATTTCCTTTTTTGGAAAGTTGTATAATGTCATATGATATATGTACACACATACTGTGTATATTAAGAAATTTTCTTATTTAAATTATCATATACTGTAATTTTCAATTTTTTATTTACAGATTCGCGAATTTTATAATAACTGGATGACAAATGAAGTTTATGAATTAATTCCAACTAAACGAATCAAAAAACCTTCTTATTCTTTAGTATGTTTATAGATAAAGGATGCATGAAAAAGAGTTAATCCAAATTTAATTTGTAAATTATTTAAGTATTGTGGAATTTCAGTTAAAACAGATGGTACAGAAAATGATGAGATTGTCGATTATGATAATCTTCTTATAAAAAATAATGAAAATTTTAATGAAAATGATGGAGATAATGAATTATTTGAAGAAGGAGAGAATGGTGAAGATAATTTTTTTTTTAACGATGTGACACTGCCAGTAACTTTATTAAATTTATATATAAGGAAATACATAGTAAATTGAAAATAAATCTATGATAAGTATTAGCTATCCCTCGTAGTTATATTACAAACCCATTTGAATTGACCTATCATCGTTTTTCCCTCCATCAAATCCACTAAGTGCATACTTAATGAAAATTAATATCAGCAAGAAAAGATAAAGAAGACGTCAGTGTCTGTCTAAAAATCCGAGAACGCGTAGCCAAATTTGTTCGCTAGGTGTATCCAAGTCTTCCAGTTAAAAGAGGGGCTTGATGTTTGTCTGTGAGGCAGGGGTGAACCGGCACTTCGTTTACGCTTGTCTTATTTAGTAATGCCCATTGAACGCTCTTTGGCGATTAATAAGTTGCAATGGTATTTCCAGACGTCATCGTATAGCTTTTGGTGGAAGAAGAACAGTGAGCGTGAAATGATGGATAGGCATTGCTCTTTATTGCTAGTTATTTTATGAATTGTATCTATCAGGGAAGACGGAATTTTAGATTAAATTATGTTTGTGTAGCCATTAGAAGCATTTGAAGGTGATGCGAAGATGGTGTTGAATACATCCTCGAGTTCAGTATGGTGTGTTGTGTATCTGGCTCTGTATGAGGAGCTTAGTTGGTCAATAAGATCATTTTTTGTGGCTGAGATCGCGTCCATAATTTTCAAGGAGTACGATAGACATGTTCAAATATGGAAAGAGGTTTCAGTAGTCATATTGCAACTCACACAAGGCCAGTGTTCATATAAATTCAGTCATAATAATGTGAGGCGTGACAGTGAAGGAAGTTCATCAATGAAGTTTTTAGTCATGAATGATTTGAGCTTGCATGAAGCAAAAGATGTAACGAGAGAAGAGGTGTTCATCAAAAAGAGATTCCAGATGGCGAACCAATTAATAGATTTATTGACTATGAGTACTCTGAATTCATCATTCCTGTTCAAATCCAGAAAGTTGCCAAAAGCTTGTGCGGCAAAGAGTTGCTTGAGAAAACCTCTAATAGAGACTTCAATAGGAATATTATTAAAGCAAAATGAGAGATCTGATGAGGGACATTATTAAGTAGCAAGGATAGAGGTGGTGTATTGCATCTATTTTTAGCTAATCTGTCCGCTATTTTATTGTAATAATTTTCAGCGTGTGCTTTGATTTTGTGGAGTGAAATTTAGAGATTAAGTTGATCAGTGATATATCGGATAATATTCCAGATTGTATAATTGGGAACTTTTTTAAGCTTTTTCAGAGAAAGATGGTTGGAAAGCACATATTTGTTAAAACTATGAATTGTTGTCTGACTATCTAGGTAGACGTCTACCACTGCGTTGTTCAGGGATACTATGATGGCAGTAAGAAGAGCATATATTTTAGCTCGCGTGAAGGAGGGCCAATTTGTGAGTAAGGCTTTGAAGGTAAAAGGACCGTTGTCAAGGTGTAAGCAAATCCAATTGAATCCCATTTTACAGTTGTCCGTCTGAGATCCTATTAAGGAGCCATCTGTGTAAAATGTTAAGGCTGTTGCACTAATAAAGGTAGATTGCAAATGTTTAAGCTTGAGTGAGTGCATCGATGGTTGAATAAAAAGATCAATGATGTTATCAGTGAGCGGAATTGGTGGAGAAAAGTCATTGTATGATTTGTGAAAGATCGTACTGGTGATACAAGAGATTTTCCTAAATGATTGTTTGGGTTGATTCTTGACAGTATGTGATTGCTTAGGAATGGTTTGAACTAAGTAGGCCAGGGCATTAGAAATACTAATAATGCAACGTCCAGATGAAACAGTCTATCTGCTGAGAGGACAACCAGAGCATTTAACAAGCTGATAAACATTATTATGGTTGATGTTGTGGGTGAAATGATAACAGATGAGATGGCTACTGTTTAAGACATCGGCTATAATTTTCCAAAGGTCAGACCATTGAGCGTTGTGTTCCAGGTTGATACTATTTCTTTTGTTTGACTATTCAAGGTGGACGCTTGAGAAATGGTTTTATAACATGGTAAGAGGAAGTTAGTCTGAATGCTGGTTTGATTAATCTGTGTACGTGACTTTCTAAAACAATGTTATCTAATCTATAGAAAAAATCAGATGAACCAAATCTTTTTGACTGGTGGTCAAAATCTCTGAGAAGGAAATCAGAAGTAGTAATTAAATGATGACCTGAGGAAGAGATTAGTTGATCTAGAAAATATAAGTTATAGTTAGTAAGAATTTTGTTATATTGTTTCAGTAGACTACTAAAGAAAATTTTTGTGATGGATTGGGTGCCTCTAGTAATTTTGTTTATGAGGAAAGGAGAGACATTAAGAGAAAGTTTTGAGGATAAAGAGTTAATAAGGGAAAGGGAGGCACTAATTAAGTTTCTATGTGAACTTTTGTTGAAAGAATGTGGCCAATAATTTAGGGGGGATGTAACAAAAACATTGCTTGACTGTAGTTGGTAAATTCGAATTAAAGAGATATTCTTATAAAGGGATGAGTTATTAAATTGGTAAATGAGAGCGGTTGAAAGGGATTTGATTTGCAGTGACCAGAGGTCGTTTAAGTTATAGAATTATTTGGAGTTCAAAAGAGTGTTGGGGAGGGTAAGGGCGAATTTATTTTTATGTTTGAAAAGTGAACATATGGGAGCGAAAATTTTATGACATTCATTTTTTGAAAGGGGTGTTAGCTGCATACGATATTCTAGCAAGAGACACAAAACCATATTAATAATATATGATAGTTGTTTGTCTATTAATAATTTATATTTCATAGAGGTGATGAAATGGTTTACATCAAACGTGAGCTGCTTCTTGACAATTATTGAACTCTCTGACTGTTGATCTACACACCTAGGAACTGTACTGACCCTTCTTCAGGGGTAATACTGATAGTGGTTGAGCCAAATTTGATAGGAACAGGAAGGACATCAACATGGCAGGTCGTCAACAGTTTCGATTTGTCTTTGTTGAGTGCAGATCTGGTGAGACTATAAAATTCATCTGCAACATGTAAAATTTCTTCTAAATCTTGTTTGGAACTAGCCACCCAGTTTGTATCGTCCATGAACGCAAGTGATGAAACGGAGGCTGATATAGTACTGGTATTCATGGAGGTGATGTCAGAAATCCAAGTGTATATCCTTTATTTAGGGAGCCTACTTCGCAGAGTAAAGGATCCAGGTAGATACACCACACTAAAGGAGAAATAACTTCTCCTTGGTCAATACCTATCTTGATATCGTATAAGTCAGTAGTTCCCTGTGCGATAAACACAGCGTTTCTTTTTGAGGTAAAGAGGTTTATGATGAGTTCAGTAGCTAACTTAGGGACTTTGATTCTGTTTAAGGCGAGACGAAGATAAGACAAATCTACACGATCGTAAGCCTTAGAAAGGTCTTGCAGTAGAATCCAAATTTCTTTATTATTTTTGATAGCATCCTCTAATAGCATATTGATAATTTTTATAGGTGGCTCCGTTGATCCTCCTGGCAATCCAGTGAAGTTTCCTCCCTTGAGGATGTTGTGGTTGGCTAATATTCAGGAGAGTCTATTGGTGATGATCTTAACAAGGCCTTTACGCGCGGTTTTGAGTAGTATAATAGGTCTGGTTTTGGTTATGTCACATTCCCATTCCATGAGTTTGGAAATGGGATAAATGTGGGCGATTTTCCATTTGTTAGGGATGTCACCTATTGTGAAGCATATGCAAATGAGTTTCTAAAGAAGTCGTTGACGTTTATCTCCAAGGTGAGCAATTATTTCATTGGTGATACCAGAGGGACCAGCTGCTTTATTATTGGGAAGTGTTCTAAGGACAGCAAGCCATTCATCATATGTGGGAGGTTGCATGAGATTGGAGTAGTGTTGATCATTAACGTAGTCCTTAGGTTTGTATTGCTCAGACCATCTGGGGTATAGGGTACACAGGGGTTGAGCGGACAGCGAAGTTTTGGAAATGATCAATTGTGGTTTTCTTGATTTCCTCTGGTTCGATGGTGAAATGTTTATCGCCTGAGTTCTTATCTGTGATGAGCAGTCGATCGAGCACTATAGATCGTTTCTTCTGATTCAAGATAGAGGCAATCATTTTAGAGGGGTCGTCTTGTAGGTTGTCACATCGCTTGTCTATAAAGGACTTGATAGCTGATTCTTTTATTTTTTGTATTTCGATCTTAGCTAATGCTGTTAAAGATTTGTGGAGATCCTTAATTTTTAATTTAACGTCATTGATATTATCGATTCGTAGAGAGGGAAGAACGGAACATGTGGGAAGTTTTAATTTTGCGATCAGCTTTTCCATGATATCCTTGATGTAGGACCATTTGAGGGATTCAGGCCAACGGTTTGTTTGTAAAAGTGAGTCTTTAAAACAGAGCAGGAATGAGCCAACTTTCCTGGTAGCAATGAAAGAGGGGGCTGATCAAAAGGTCATTTATCTCTTTGATGTGGGAAATCCAAACTTGAGGTATGACACATCTGTTGGCAGCTAGGATAGCAGCTTTAATATCTATCTATAGAGTGTTCATATTGTATCTGTTAGTGGAGAGGTTTGAAAGGCGATCCAGGTTGTGACATCTATAATGAAAATTGGTGTGTGTAGTGAATTCATTCCATTTGGATGGGTTCATAGTTCTTAAATTGGGAACTTGTCATTTATTTTGTAAGGTATGACCTCAAGCGTTTGATTGCGTACAACAATCAGCAAATATTGTGAAAATGATCTTATGGTCAGACGAGTAGAGGACTGGTTAATCTAAATATGAATAAAGGAATTCTGAAGTGAAGTTGGGTGAGACAAAAATGGTGTCAATTCTTGAACTACGTGAGCCTGAGTGGTATGTGGGTTGGGGTGTATCATGACAAACGTCATAAAGGTCTAGGAAGTTCAATGTGAAGAGCCGTTTGTAAAAGTCCATTTGCCAGTGTAGGGCTTTGCCATTGTTAACTTGTGACCAGTAGGTATCAAGATTC